AGGGAGAGAGAGAGAGGGAGGGAGAATCCTAAGCAGGCTCTACAACTGTCAGCATGGAGCTGGATGCTGGGCTTGATCTCACAACTGGGAGATGATGACCTGAGCCAAAATCAAGAGTCAGACACTCAACCAACTGAGCCACCCAGGTGCCCCTTTGGGAGAACTTCTTAATCTCTGAGTCTCAGTTTTCTTACCTGCAAAATGGGAATAAGAACATGTATGTGACAAAGATAAGATAATTATTTGGAAAATAAAATGAATATTGCATTACAGCCCCTAAAACAGTACCTGCCACATTGCAATTACTCAGGAAATGGTATCAATTTATGATGATAATGATGACACAAGTCTACTAGAATTCTTTTTCTTTATCTCATTTTCAGTTGTTTTTCTCCTTATCTGGGACTGAGATGTGGACTCAGCACATTTTGACCAACCTACTCTTTCCCTGAGCCATGTTCTATTCTTAAATTAAGTATTTTAGAACTGTCTTTACATTTGAGGAATATAGAAATATCTACCCTTCTACATTTCTCTAAATGTGATTGATAACACATGATTGACCCTATCCTATCCTATCAAGAGTATTATACTTTGTGCCTTTAAGGAACTCACACTATATAGATTTTTTATGGAGTTGTATTAATGTTGCCTCCTTCCTACATTTTAGCATTTTTCCCCATCCTTTCCATTTCTGACTCTTACAGATTTTTCTATGAATGGAAACTGACAACCTTTCAAATGCATGTTCTTTTATCATGATGTTGTTGTAATTCTGATAATACATGAACATTCTGAAGTTTCTTTGTAAAAATATAACCATTCCCTCTGATATTTTATTACCTAGTATGTTTTTAAGGTGTTTCTTGCTCAGATTCAACTAGTGTTCTTTTTATTTTTCAGGAAGTAAAAATTTTTTATCATACAGAGTTTAAAAATTTAATCATTTGAAAATTAGACTGATGATCCTCTTGGGTTCACAATATGGGTGAGAGAAAGGCATTAAAGATACTAATGAAATCATGGTAATAAGCATAGAATTCTGGAGTCAAGAATAGACTAATGAAAACTAACGTTGAATAAAAGTTTTGACAGCAAAAATACCCTCCTTAGTTTATTTCATTATTTTTCATTACTTCTTCAATTAGTCCTAAAAAAAAGACTTGGGGCACTGGATGGCTCAGTTGGTTGAGTGTCTGACTCTGGATTTTGGCTCAGGTCATGATCTCATGGTTTGTGAGATTGAGCCCTGCGTTGGGCTCCATGCTAACAGTGCAGAGCCTGCTTGGGATTCTCTCTTTCCCTGTCTCCCTCTGTCCTTCCCCCACTCTGTGTGTGTGTCTCAATAAATAAATAAATAAATAAATAAATAAATAAATAAATAAATAAACAAACATTTAGAAAAACAGACTTGAAATTAGAAGAAAAAATTGCAAGTGGAAAAAAATTCATTTTAAGTATCCAGTATGGATCATAGTGACTACAATTTACCTTTTTTCCCTGACAGTTATAAGTTATTAAACAGCCCACTTTAATATAGTAATGAAAAACTTGCCCTCAAGAGGTTGAAAATAAGAGCACTCAAGTAACAGGTGTTCTCTTTGAGATTATTCTAAGCATTCAGAATATAGCACTTTAAACATTAATAAAAAGTGTGAGATGATATTTTTGTTGGTGTTGATAATGATGATACAGGTGTTTGATGGGCTTTGGATCTGAAAAGCAGCCAGGATGTTTTGTTAGGTGAACTGGGAGGAGGAAAGGGGATGACACAGCAGGGTTACAGGTGTGCCAGGCTTTCAGAAAACCTGATCTGTTTACACAACAGATTTACTTATTTGTTAGTTCCAGCAAACATACACTGAGCTCCATTATACCTAAAGCCTGGGTAGGGGGACTGCGAGCATACAGAGGTGAGAGAACATGTTTTTTGCCCTCCCAATGCTTATAGTTGAGAGGCATATACTATACACAAATAAATACCAAGCACTATACTTAATAAATGTTACAAACTAAATGACTAGTCTCAGTAGACAATGGATTCACATTATGATTGGGCTCATGATGGAAGACTTCATGGAGGAGATGCCATTCAAGCTGAAAAAGGGGTTAGATTTCACCATTGGAGATGGTTGTGGGTTTGGCGGGAGTGATCCAGGTGTAGCAAAATGGCATCAGAGACACAGTAATGAGCGAGCACAAAATGTGTACAGGGGACAGTGAGTGCTTTAATTTGGACAAAGTATTGCCCATGCTGTAGATTGAATACGCAAAAGTAGCATGAGGGCAAAAGAAGAAAGAACCTTGAATGCCTGACTAAAGAATTTGAATTTCATTAACAGTCGGTTAGTCAGTGACTAACAGTTACAGGGAGCCCTTAAAGACATTTTAGTAGGATCAGAGTGGTGTTTTTGGTACCTTGGTGTCAGTGGCTGAATGGATTGAACAGGGGGAGGCTCAAAGCTGTGGGGTGCCTGGGTGGCTCAATCGGTTAAGCGTCTGACTCTTGATTTCGGCTTAGGTCATGATCTTGCAGTTTGTGGGATCAAAGCCCACTGTGGTATTAGTGCAGAGCCTGTTTGGGATTTTCTCTCACCCTCTCTTTCTGCCCCTCCCCTGCTCTTGCTCTCTCTAGGAAAAAAATAATAATAATTAGGAGTCTATTATGATGGTCTAGTAGAGCCATGATGAACAGCTGAACTAAAGCAGGAACCGTGGGAATGGGCAGCAGGGGACAGATGGAAGATGTACTGCAAGGGTGGATTTGGGCTAGAAGGGAGGGAGTTGATAATAACCTGG